GGGGGCGGCCCGGGGGGTGGCGCCGCGGCGGCCGCAGCCCCGCAGGAGCTCAACAACAGCCGGCCGGCCCGCCAGGTGCGCCGCCTCGAGTTCAACCAGGCCATGGACGACTTCAAGACCATGTTCCCCAACATGGACTACGACATCATCGAGTGCGTGCTGCGCGCCAACAGCGGCGCCGTGGACGCCACCATCGACCAGCTGCTGCAGATGAACCTGGAGGGGGGTGGCGGCAGCGTCTACGAGGACAGCTCCGACTCGGAGGACAGCATCCCTCCGGAGGTAGGGGCGCGGCCCCGATGATTCACCACGAGCTCCAAACACCGTTTGAACCTCTCAGAGGACCTGGGTTACTCCCTGTCTGGGTTCTAACCAGCGAGCAAATTTCTTTCCCCTAGGGAAACGTACCGTCAGTCATCGGCCTTATTTCATGGGCAGAAATCATGCAGTCATTCAACAGACACTGACCGCCCACTCAGGGGTGCGCCAGGCACGTCCTAGATCCTGAGTCAGGGGTCATCAGAATTAAAGCGCTTGTTAAAAATGCAGGTGCTGGGGTCGGCCTGTGGCTCACTTGGGAGAGTGTGGTGCTGATAACACCAAGGCCACCGGTTCGGATCCCTATATAGGGATCCGAACCGGTGGCCTTGGTGTTATCAGCACCACACTCTCCCAAGTGAGCTAACCGGCCATCCCTATATAGGGATCCGAACCGGTGGCCTTGGTGTTATCAGCACCACACTCTCCCAAGTGAGCTAACCGGCCATCCCTATATAGGGATGGCCGGTTAGCTCACTTGGGAGAGCGTGGTGCTGACAACACCAAGTCCAGGGTTAAGAACCCCTTACCGGTCATCTTTCGAAAAAAAGAAAAAAAAAAAAAATGCAGGTGCCTGGGCCCCACCCCAACATACTGAATTAATCCCACTTCCAGGACTAGAGTCTAGAAGTGGGATTATATATGAAAAAATACAGTATTGAAAAAAGTGTGTTTTTCTTTCAAGAAAGGCTCTTGAACCTCTGGGTTTTCACCTTGTTCAAGTCAGACAAAGTTTCTGCCCTCCCAGCACTCACAGTTCAATGTGGACTGGAGGCAGGAGTCAGGCCCTGACCGCCCAGAGTGCTAAGTGCTATGATGGGAGAAATGGAAGCTGCAGAGAGCAGAGCATGACCTCCCAGAGGAAGGGATGGCTGAGCTGAGACCCGAAGCGAAGAGCTGGGGGAAGGGAGTGCGGGCAAAGGGAACAGCTTGTGCTGAGGCTCAGGTGAAACAGCACATGACTGGTTAGGGAAATGGCAGCAGGATCATCTGTCATTCTAGGATGCTGGAGTGAGAGGAGACCAGTGAGGCTGACAAGGTCCTGCTGCTGAGAAAAAGGGTGGGACCGTATCCCTGGAGCGCAGCCAGCCACAAAAGGGGACTGACATTTCAGACTCGCCAGTTAAATCCATCTGACTGGCCTGATGGAGGCGGTAGTGAGTCATATCCAAGCAGTTCTCTCATTCTCTCCAGGGAAATGGCTAGGGCAGCGGGGACCGCCACCCTGCATCAAGACCCACCTGCTGAGGGTGGCTGGTCCTCCCTGGCCCCATCCAAGAGTTTAGGGCATGTCTCCAAAGAACTGCAGTGCTCGGTGCAGAAGGGGTGAGGCACACAGTCTGTCAGGGAGAGGGGTTGCCGCAGATGAGATTTAATTCCATTCATTATTGAGTCCCAACCTGGCCAGGCACCATTCTAGGTGTTTTAGATGTATCATCTCTTCTAGTCCTCACATACTTTGTGAGAGGGCATTATTATCACCCTTGTTTATAGTGAGAAAACTTAGACCCAGATGGAGCCTCAGAGTCCTTCTCAACAGAGCCCTGCATGCAGCTACTCTCTATCAATCAAAGTCACCCTGCAGGGCGACGCCTCCTTACTCTCCTCCCCTTAGTGGGTGCTGGTAGAACTAACTCCTGGTGGGAGGAGGAGCTCTGTGGGAAAAGACATGTGTCATCCCTGTGTCACCTGCAGCACCGAGGACAGTCAAGGCACATAGCAGGCACTCAGGAATGTTTGTTGAAGGAATAAATGTTGCTGCTCTCTTTGCACAGCTTTCTATCGTCTTTTCCTGGGATACCACTTCTTTGATCTGCCTGGATTAGCCAGTGGAGGGAATATTGGAAAACCTTGTGGAAAGGAGGGGTGAGAGAGTGCGCGTGTGTTTGCAGATACGTCCTTTAAGTGTGAGCTGGAAAAGTTCTCTGCAAGCTCTGACTCTTTCTACAGTCTCATTTGTTCTGGCAGGTAGGATAATGTTTCCTCCTTTATCCATGGCACCCACAGCCCTGTGAACTTCTGCAAGGCTTTCCCATCCCCTAGGTAGGCCTGCACTGTGTGTGTGCTTCTGTTTTTCTAAGAATCTTCCTTTCCAGATCAATCTCCTATCTCAGCAGCCCTCCCCTCCCTTGGCTGTTTCCCTAACCCCCCACCTTTGGAGCTCTGCCTGGGCCCATCGGCAAGCAGTTCCTGAGCCAGCAGAAAGTGCTTTGGAAAATTTATGAGCAGCAGCTGGAATGACAATAACTGCTGACTGGAAAAAGCCCCCTCTCTGGAGGCTGATGGATGGTGGGCTGGCCTAAGGGGTACCCTTGCCACAGAGAAATATCTCTTGTCAGATAAATTGCTCAGACCCTGCCCCGGGGAGCACCTGGCAGGCATCCGTCACCCACAATGAGTTAAGCCAGGAGGCCACACAGCTGAAGACTTCAGCACCTTTAGATTCTGAAGAATAACCTCACTGTGGCTGGTGGAGTAGGGGAGAGAAGCAAGGAAGGCCAGACACACAGCCGGGGTTGCTCTCCCTGGGGCTGGAGATCATCGGCCTTTCTGGAGCTTGCCTGGCCCGCTGCCTGCCTCCTTGGTATGTCTGCATTCTGCTCCAGGAGCCTCTGATGAAGTCTGGTCTTGCTGACCCAGGAGGCTGTGCTGAGGAGCAGGAGGGGCCGGGAGGGAGGGACCTTCTGGTAAGGACAGCCTGGGGGCCTGATCTCCCCGAGTCTGGGGGGCCGACAGCTACAGACCACAGTCAGAGGAAACGACAAGCAGCTTCCTCCTGGGAACAATCACACTGAGCTGTCCTTACCCATCTTGCTCAGACCAACCTCAGTGGGAAGAGGCCAGGCTGACCACTGAGGAAGGAGAGGGCTCAGCCTCCAGGAGCTGGCTTCTAGGCCCCAGCCTGGACCCTGTCTCTCAGAGCAGAGCAGTCTGGTGAACAGCAGCAGCAAGTTTTCCACATACACATGCTGAGCTGCCGTCCTGTGTCAGGTGCCAGAGATTTGCCGGTGAACAGGACTGGAGCCTATGGTATTCTTGCTCTTTTTCCTTTTTGTGGAAATTTGGGGTAAGCAGAGCAGTGGCCCACGAAGCAGCTACATTCTTCTTTTCTTACAAAAGCATCTGTTTAAATACTTTCCACCTCAAAGGAAAGAACGTTAGTGCATTCCAGGGAGGGAGGCCTTCTTGGGTCAGGCTGGCTGTGTGTGCACAGATCACTGCAGTATGTGTGTGTGTGTGCGTGGGCACTCAAGTGTGCGGATTCACCCACCAAGGTGTCCCTGTGAGGCTCTGTGTGCCGGGCGCAGCTGGTCTTGGGGCAGAGGTGTGCCAGTGCAGCCCAGCCTGGCTCAGACTTGCAGAGTTAGAAGCACAGGTGCCTTTAAGGGTGACTTCTGCAAACTCACCTGAGGTCTGGGGACTCAGGGCTGATTTGCAGGCTTTGAGCCCTTCCCATGGTCTTTGGTCGTGGAGGAAATGGGAACTGAGCTGTGGGGAGGAGCAAAGAGGGGAGCTGGAGGCTAAGGTATGGCTGATGTGTGACAAGGGATCTCCTGGCTGGTGGCTCTGTGGCAGAGTCCAGGTCAGTCTATGTAGCAGGAAGCCCAGCTTTTGCCCAGGCCTTGGCCTCTCCCTGCCTCTCTTTCTGGCTCCTGGATGAAGAGAGGATTCCAGGAGAGAGAGCGGGCATCCCGGGCATTCCCCTATCTCTTTCACCCTAAGCATCCAACCTGGGTGTGCAGGCATTGAGCCCGAAGGAGGCACCCTTGCTGCAGAGACCATGGTCCAAGTTGAAGACTCAGATTTAAAAGGAGTGTGTGCTACTCAGTCGGCCTAGGCCTCAGTTTTCTCATTTGTAAAATGGGGGTAACGATCCATATCTTACTGTGCCACATTGTTTGAAATTGAGATGATATAAAAGATGTGGAGGTACTGTGAGGGAGGGAATGAATGACATTATCATCAAAGAACAGCACCTGGGGAAGAGTACACGAATCAGATGTGCAGCTCAGTGACGTTTCTCAGCATCAATACACCATGTTATCGGCACCCAGACCAAGAAGCATCAGCAGAACCTGGAATCCCCCTTGGGTCTCTTCCCATCCTTACCCACCCACAGAGGTCAAACTGCTCTGACTTCTATCACTGTGTTTGTTTTGCCTGTTTTTGAACCTTACTTGGATGGGTAATGCTGCTATGAACATTCTTTCAGCGACATGTACTTTCATGTCTGTTGATTCTGCTGGAATTGTAGGGTCGGAGGGAACCATGTGTTTTGCTTTAGTAGATAAAGCCAAACAGTTTTCCAGAGCGGTGGTTGTGTCAAGTTACCCTCCCATAGCAATGCGCAAACTTCCCTTGTTACACATCCTCGCCCAAACTTGGTTTTGTCTAAATGTTATTTAAATTCAAGGAAGGATTATTAATCTTTCTTTCTTTGTTGTCTCTGATTTAGATCTTGGAAAGGACTTTGGAACCTGATAGCTCTGATGAAGAGCCCCCGCCTGTGTACTCCCCACCAGCCTACCACATGCACATGTTCGACCGGCCTTACCCTCTGGCTCCCCCCACTCCACCTCCCCGGTGAGAATCCATCTTCTCTCAGAGCGCAGGGTAGTAGGGAAAAGGATCAGGGGTTAGGGTTGTGTACAAACACGGTGGGAAACTTGGCTGGACCCCTCAGTATTTCATTCCAGCAAGAACAGGCTTCTACCGCAGCAAGAGACATTTTAGCTCGATACCAAGGAGAACTTCCAAAATGTAAGGATTGCAAGAGCAAACATTTACTAAATTCTGACTTAGGCTAGGTGGTATGTCCTGTGTCATGTGAGTCACAGTTAAGTAAGGCAGCCTCTGCTTTCTGGGAGCTCATGGTCAAGGGAGATGCCAGAATAGGAATGACAAACACATGGAATGGGTACTGATACGTCCCCTCCTGAGCCCAGGCAAACATTATTAATTCATCACTGTGCTCTTTCCTGTTGAGTCAAGACAGAACCTCAGCGTCCTCTTCAACACAGCCTTCCCAGACAGTCACTGGTAATTGATGGAGTGGCTATTTGCCAGCCTTAGGCTACAGATGTGAGGATTTTAAGCAATGGGAGCAAATCTCTTTTTTTGGAATAGTTTGATAACTGGAGGCAGGGAAGTAGCCTGCGAAGTCCCTGGAGACTTTTTCCAGGTTAGGGACTCTGTAATTGGGAAGCTTAAAATGAAGGTGGTTGTCAGCAAGCTCCCATGGGCTTCTGAGGTGCTTGTTTTTCTGGGCTCCATGTTTGTGGTGGGGCTGCTGGAGCCCAGGTGTTGCTTCTTCATTCTGGAGTGGCTGTTCCTTATAATGACTCAGGCCTGGGGTGGCTGGGGGGGAGGTGATGGGACAGGAGACTTGCCTCAGTGGAGCTTCCCTTCTGGGGATCTTGGGAATCCCCAAGCGGTGGCGGTGGAGAATTCTGTTATTATATAGGTATAGCTAATAATAACAGCAGCCATTTACTAAGCACTCTTCAAATGCCAGAAACTGCCAAGGTTCTTTTTTTTTTTGTCTTTTGTCTTTTTCCATGTCCGGCAACTGATCGCAACCCTCAGTGTTGCCCCCGTACCGGACCGGGGACCGGCAACGGGATTGCAACCCTCGGTGTTGCTCCTGCGCCTCGCCCAGCCAGCGAGCGGGAACCGGTCCGCATGTGGGATCCGAACCCTCGGGCGGGAGCGCCACCGCGCTTCCCAAGCGGCGCACTTATCCAGTGCGCCACCGGGCCGGCCCCAAACTGCCAAGGTTCTTTACCTACACCATCACATTTGAAGCAGAGGTGGGCACTGTTGTTATCACCCCCATTTTACAGATGAGGAAACTGAGCTTCAGAGAGTTTTCATAACTTCTTCAAGACTAAGAACTGAGATTTGAATCCAAGTCATTCTGACTTCAAAGCTAATCACTCTTCACTGCTGTGTCCAGTTACCTCCCTAATGAGAAAAATCTCTGTGATTGCAGCTTAGGGAGCTGACAGAATCCTAGGGAGTTATGAGGGGTGGGGAGGGCAGTGTTTTGAGTCAGGGAGGAGCAGAGCTAGGGTCTTTATTACAAGTGGTACCAGGAGATGGCAGGCTAAATGGGGTGGGAGGTGGGGAGTAGGTGGATGGGTCTGGATGAGACCTGGGCAGGACTTGCAGCCTGGGATGGGTCACAGAGTTCAGGGCTGAACGATTTTTCTTTGACTTTTTTTTTTAAATATCCCAGGATGCTTTTGCAAGAAGTTCAGTTTCTGTTAGGCAGAGTGCCTAGTTTTCAGGAGGGAAAACTGAGGCCGTAAGAGAAAGAATCCCAGAGTAAACCTGGCATAGGTATCCTGACTACACCCTTTCTCCCTGCTCTGGCTGGGTGTTCAGCCTGCTGTAGGGCTGAGCGGCAGGACAGTACAGTCCAGCGATGGGAACCCCAGTTGGGGACAAGGTGACCTCAGCCCTAGACCAAGGCTTAGGAGGCCTTGTTCTGACCCTGTGGACTTTAGACAAGTTACTGCCCTTGCCTGAGATTCAGGGACCAGACCTAGGAAAGGAAGGCTTTGCTGGGCTGGCAATGGATGCACTGAAGAGAACTTGAGTTGTGGAGTCAGACAGAAGCAGACTGCTCTCCCTACCCCTTTCATTCAGCTGCCTAACTTCTGATTCTCCTGTGCTGTGTGGCCTCTGGCTGATTGCTTAACCTCTCTGAGCTTCATCTGCTTCATCCGTGACATGGAAATACTAACTCCCACCTCAGCACCGTGATGAGGACTGAATGGGATGTTGTGTGGAGCACTAAAGCACACTGCCAGGTATACACAATCGGCAGTTTACTGCTCCTTCCTGCCCCCCAGCTGCACTGGCTGGCCTCTGTGTCTGGCTCTAACATTGAACATTGAGACCAGTGGCGAGGCTTCCCCCAGAGGCCAGTATTCAGAAGAGGTACATTCCCCTTTGCCCCAGATGACTCTTGTAGGCCCAGATCTACCCTCGGCCATCTTCGGGGCTTTGCTCAGTCTTTCTACCCAGGACATGCATTTGTAGGATTTATCGAGTCACCTGCACTGTGCAGGTGCTGAACCTTGTGTAAGCAATGCCTTATTCCCCTGCCCTTCCGTCCAAGGAGGTCAGAGTATACAGGAGCAATAGACATGGGGATGGGGAGCAGGAGAGGCTGCCTAGAGGAACTGATGTCCAAGCTGTGACCTAAAGACCACGTTGGCATTAGTCTGGTGAAGCAGAGGACAAAAGGGCAGTCCAGGCAAAGGAAATGGAGGCAGGAAAAAGGGAACCACCTGGAGAACTCCTGGAAGTATGGAATGGCTGGGTGAGGCTGGAGAGGCAAGCAGATCTTGGGGGCCTTGTGGCCCTCCAAGGAGCTTCAATCTTATCCTGCAGCCAGCAGGGAGCCACTAAAGGGGTTTGAATTGGAGAGTGACACGATCAGGTTAGTGTTTTAGGATTATCCTCTGGCTGCTGAGAGAGATCAAATTTGAGTGGGGAAATGATCTGGCCTTCTTTTCCCACCTCCAGTTACTTGGGTGTCTGAGAGCTTGGGCATCACCCTGCCGGGGCACAGAGAGGCAGGGCAATCCCAGGGGAGCATCCGGGAATGCCAGAATACCTGGGCCAGGTTTTGCCTAGATGATCTGTGTGCCCTGGGATAGGGCCTGGCCCTACCTAGATTTCAATGTCCAGTCTTTACCAAAAATACCGCCTAGAAGGCCTGTTTCTGAAATCCTTCTTGGTCAGGTCTGATGTTCCATAGGTAAACCTGGGGGTCTGATGGGGCTGGAAGTTGTAGTTTTGTAGTTCAGGAACAGAGGCTTCAGGCCAGGATATCCTCCCAGCCCTCTTTCTTTCCCCTCCCCGAGCCTGTCCTCCCCTGCTTCTGCCTGAAAGAGTCTTGGACACCCAGGAGACCCCTCCGCACAGGCCTCCTGCTGTTTTTCCGTTGAAATTACAGCCTTGAAAGTTTTTTATTTGCCTCTCAGCTCATTTCTGACATTCCTTTCTGACCACAATGGAGTTGCCTGAGCTGCCAGTGCTCAGGGCACCCCCCTCCCCCGGTTGGCGCAGCTGTGGGCTGACCTCATCTCCACCCGTGCAGGGTAAGGGGCCGGGAAGGGACTGGCCTGCCCTTCTTCTAGGACTACGACCCAGCAGCAAAGGAAACTCAGCTGTGGATAGGGGCCTCCGCCATCTGTCCCCCTCCTCACTTGGGCATCTGGTAACAAAGTGGCTAGAGGGCTCTTCCTTCACAGCTTTCCTGGGTGGCTCCAAGGTGTGGTTGTTGTGGGTGGACACTGTGTCCCCAGACCAAGACCCTGAGGCCCAAGGAAGGGTAAGGACCCTGGAGAGGATTTCTCGCAGCTGTGGCAGCAGGTGGTCTGCCAGTCCCTGAAAGACGGGGCATCCTCTCCTCTGCCTCTCAGGCCCTTGGAGAACATGAGGCCTCCACAGTGACAGAAGGTGGCAGAGTGATGTAGGAAGAAAGAAACCTGGCCTAGGAACAGGTGTCCTGGGTCATGAAGCAAGTTCTTCCCCGGCCCCTCCCTCGTCTGAACCGGAGAGGGTGGAGGAGCGTGCGGGGTTCCCGAGGCTGCAGCCTGCGAGGGCGCACGGAGCTCCCACCGCGCACGGGGCTCCCGCCGCGCACTCAGCAGCTGCTTATCCCTGGCTGCCGCCGCCCCCGTCCCTCCCCTTCCCCCGCCGGCCGCCC